TGTCAAACCGTGTGTAGCATATCAATCTCAACCCTGGAGCAAAAGCACATACCCCTGCAGCTTTAACAACTACTACAAGGGGAAAAGAGAGCTTTAACTTTTGGACAGTTAAAAAAAAAAATTCCAGTTTATACCGAGTCATCAATAAATAATGTGTGGAAGTGAGGATAGAGTTGAAGGGTAAAAGTGTGTGCTTTCTGGCAGCAGCTCGACTTCCAGGCTCCCCGTCGATGAGCCTCCCTGACAGCTTACTTGCCTCGCAATTGATTTTAGAACAACAACCCCAAAGCAATGAATAATTTCATGACCTCTAGAAGATAAATTGTAATTGTTTACCAACTGATCCAAAAGTCTTTGAACTCACTATAAATTATAAATACGCCGCTTTTATTCTCAGTACATTCAACATTTATTCACTTCACCGTTTCTCGAGCGCTTACTTTGGCGGTTCTCGTAGCAGTGTGTGGGTGTGCGTCTACCAGGGGAAAATCAGTGAGGAACTCTGGTAACAGATTGGTAATTTTTCCTCTGATCGTCCGAGCGGAGTACTCCTGTTTAGGTGAAGCTACCCAGCAGGGAACAATATTGTGGGCATCAACCTATAAAAGGAAAATAGAGTGTTCAAGAAATAATGATAGGAAAAACAAAGTCAATACGCATGAAATGAGAATGAGGTCTGCTGCATCAGTTTTCATACCTATTACTTTGGAATCAGGGGAACAAATAAAGAGAGAAAACAGCCTGGGGACAGACAATAACCAGGATACAGAGCATCCTATCAGCACACACCTCCTGCAAATTGGATTTCAGAAAGTGAGGGTTTTTTTTTTTCATACCTGTATGAAGGGAATGTCTTTGGAAAGTTTCTTTTTGACGTCCTCCAACCACTGCAGCGGCTCTCTGATAGGAGAGAAGTCTGTCACCACGGCCCCAAAGCTGTGGTCGGACACAAAGCCGGGGAGAACTTTCCCCGGAGCGCCGTGCAGCAAGTGGAACTGGACGTTTAACTGTTCACATTCCTGTTATATGGGCAGAAGAGCAAGAGTGAGGCTGGTTCACTGATGATGTACCTGCAACTACAACTAGACTCAAACAAGAGCGATTCCTCTGGTCTGGTGTAGTACTGCACAACTAATATACGAAATATTTCTCATATAACAATAGATACAAGTTTCTATCACAAAGATCCTTTTATTAA